CTGCGCGCGGCGGGCGCGCGGCGCGGCCGTTAGCGGGGGCCGTTGGCAGCGGCCGTTGGCCGTTAGGCGCGAGCCGGTAGACGCCTCCTGAGGCGGTCAGTGGCGCGGGCGGCTGCCGGCGGCTCTGCCTCCCCTCACGGGGAAGGGCCCCGTCGGAAGCCTCAAGCTCGGGACTAGCAGCCCGTCTACCCCAGCGCATTGTCTAGCCCGTCCCAGGGCTTCGTGTCTTTTCCTTGACTTGGATGAGATTCCTCTCAGCCCTGCTGCTTTGGCTTGCCCAGGTCCCTCTGAACAGCAGCCTTGCCTTTGAGTGGAATGGTGGCACTTGGAATTAACGGTAATTAGGATAGTTAACTTCCTTAGTTAGCCAGTTAGATCTGGTAAATTGACCAGAAAAAAAAAAAAAAGCTATCACTGTACAGGTCTGAGCTGCCTTCCTGTATGATACAGAAATTAGTTCTTGTTTGGCTAGAGACTATCTTGAAAGTAACTTGTGATGAAGAATTTTCTAACTTAAAAAGTTGGTAAGCCATGTGGTTAAAACATTTACTCTTCTGCCCACCCCCTCACACCCACCGCCCCCCCCCAGTAGATGAAACAATAGGACTTACCACTTCTGGATTTTTTCATGCATTGCCTGTTTGTCTTATGAGGCCCCTTCACATTACTCCCATGTTTCTCCATAGGTATCTGGGCTTTGATCAAACCATTCCTTAAAGCCTGAGTATATATCTGGCCTTTATTCACACTGAAATGGACTCAACATGAGGTTCTGGGGACAGAAGGAAAAGACTGGTCCTACTCAGGAGGAGTTTAGCAGCAGCCATGGGCTTCCACTGTTCCTCCAAGTGAGCAGGGAGACAGGCCTGCCTGTAGCACCACTCACACTATGCAGAAATGAAAGCAGCAATTTTCCTCATTAGCTACTTCTCAATAGTAGCTGCCGTTACCAAAGATTTTTGTCAACAGCTTCTCAGCTTTCTAGAGATGCCTGACTTTCTGAGCTTTAAGCTTGCCACCACAATTAATGCCATCTGAGGATTACGAAAGAACCTCATGGAACACATACATCTTCTAAGATCTTCCATGTGATACACATAGGCTGAACTCAAAGTCTCTGTATTACAATTTTTTGAATCCTTTAGATACTATTGTGGTTTGTAAAAAAAGAAAAAAAACCACACAAACAAAACTTTCTCAAATGTATCAGTAATTTATCAGTGTGCTTCCTGAATGTCTGAAAATTGGATGTGGTATTTTAACAATGTTTAAATCTGAGATACATAGCAAAGAGAAAGGAATACAGTGGGAGAAATTATTAGAGAAGACACACGCTTGGCTGAAGTTCCCTTGTGAGAAGGTAGTACAGAAAGGACTTTTTTCTGCTGCTCAAGAAAAACCTGAGGGAATCATGATAGTTTTTCTATAGATTCTTTGGGGAGAGAGGGACAAGACTGGCCAAACTGAGATCTGGTAGAGGTAAATGAGGAGAATTTACGTGACAAAGAGCTGATGTGCAAAAGGGAAGGTTGGGGATCATTTTTTTGTGTGGTACAAGGTACTGAATAATTACATTTGTGTCCTAATGCACATGAAAGGGGTGGCAAGAGAGATTTCCATGAAGTGGCTAAGACAGAACATGTGAAATAATGGCTCCAAATATATGGGAATTTTCCTGTGAATTCAAAAGGACCTGGAAAGAAAGAGTTGAGGATGAAAAGAGCAAAAGACTTACTTCATAAGTAATTTGCAAGTCATTTCCAACCACATTCAACACAGAGGAGGTTTGCAGTTCAGGCAAAGTCTGCTCAGGAACAAGGCAGAGTTGCTTTCATTCCTAAAACAGAACAGAGTGTTCCTAAAACAGGGGAGACATGTCACAGTGCTGCTAATCCCTCTGAAGTAGGTCAGGTTTACAAAGATGGAGAAGATACACCTCATTTGAACCTGATTAGGAGCATGAATCGAGAAATGGATAAAAAGAGAAAACAAGGAGGCCCATTTAGAGAAAACAACTGCCTGGGCCCAACAGTATTGTTTTTGTGATTACTTCAATTACTTTGTCCCTTCCTTCTGCTTCATTTGGCTTCTGTTAAACCTGTGTATCTTCAACTTTTCCTCTATATATGTGTGTTGCTCTGCTGGCTTTGCATAGATCTTGAGAGTTATAGTTTTCCACCTTCATGCTTCCCACTCCTGTTACGGAAAAGGTTTAGGAATCAAGCAGTCAGTTTAGGTTTCAACAGGTGTTGATGGAAGTGTATCCATTAACCACAGAAGTTTGGGGCAGAATTTGGAAAGAAAGTATTTGATTTAACTTTTGTAGCTATTTGTTTTAATCTTGATTATAAAACGGAAAGTTCAACTGTAGTATGGTAAGAACAAGGAAGTGTAAATGAAGGGAGAGATGCCAACAACATTATTTTTCCCCTATTCTGTGATACTACAGGCACTCACGTCACAAATATTTCTATACTGGAACTCTTCTTTACCTTGGTGACCAGTCTCTCTGCTCTGCACAGAGGACACCACCAAAATGCGTTGTTTCCTAGGCCTCCCTAGCAGTAATTTCAGTATTTCTCTTGACTGACATGAGGAATACTGCTTTGTGCTCCATAAGTATTTTTCCTGTGCAGAGTCTTCACGTTCACTGAACTAAAATTTAGCCCTCCATTATAGTGTGGCTTTCCACTAGAAAAAGAAGAACATTAAAAACTCATGGATTTTAAGGGTGTGGTGCAGAGGCTATAGTTAGAAAACTTTTTCTGTAAGTTTCTGTTATGTTTATTTTCTACTTTATTGAATGTTGTCCTATTATCAGTTTGTGTAGGTGTCTCATGCTAAAGAAAGATATTCCAGCATTTTGTATGTGTTTTCTTTCACTGTGTGTGGTGATAGATTCATGGCACTGCCTAGAGCAGAATAAATTATTGTAACAGTAATTTTCCTAGAATATGTCCAGTTTCACCAGCTATGAAGTTTTTTCAGTTCTATATGGGATTTCCAGAACGATCCTCCTAAACGTTTGGAATTTGTTTTTAGTAGATTGTTTGTAAAACTCAAAAATAAGAGGTCAGAGACAACAACAATTCTGACATTTCCAATTTTCATGTGACCTATGAGCCTAACAAAATAATAGCTGCAACATATTTTTCACTATGTGAATGGTAAAAGAGTTTGCAACTTGGTTTGTAATTTAAGGCAAATATGTAGTGGAGAATAAACTGGTCAGAAATAAGTATTCCATGCATGTTTTAGCATGGATTTGTTAACCATAAAGCTTGTTATATTTAAGGAGAGTGGTTTAGTTTAAAATAGATAGATGGATCAATAAATACACAGAACTGTAATTAACAGTTGGAAACTCACCATGGCTCTGCCTTTCATATCTATTTAAAATTAACAAAAACTCTTATACAAGAGTTTGACTTTTGACAAGGTAAGTTCATATCTGTCCTTCATAAATAAGAGTATAAAATTTATTGGAATATTAAATGAAATATACAAAGAGTTTTCTTGTCCATATGAATCAAGTTCATCTGAATCTAATGACTTCCCAGCAAAAGAGAGATAAATAATGACAAGATGACAAATGAAAAATAATGACAAGAGGAAATCATATTTTTGTTCATAAAGCAAGCCAGTGAGGGTACCGTAGCCATAAGTCTTCTAATTAAATGCAATGTTCGAGAACATCTCTGACTAACTTTGAGTTTTGCTGTCCTGCATAAACATGAAGAACTCAAGTTGTCCTGTCAAGCACTCCAACCTGAAGGTAAGTTATCAAAGGTATTCAGCATTGAAAAACATATCTTATTATCAAAAAACCTCACCATTCATTTGTTGTTTATGCTTCTTCTACAGGTGAGTTAATGTGCATCACTACAGGCACATTAGTGTCCACTAACAGTTCTGCCCTACCTTCCTGAATGGCTGCTCTTGATCTTGTATTACCCATATAAAAAAAATATGCTTTTTCATCTTGTCTACACGTCCAACTACAGAAGACACTTAGCTAAAGAGATGAAGTTTGCCATACAAAGACAGTATTGCACCAGAACCCAACAGTGCCCTGTGTACTTGCTGCAGCCAGAGGCATCTATAACCTCCAGGGAGCAGATATGCCAGAGAACCTGGTTCAGGAAGAACAATGCCTGTGCAGGAGCTAGAAGAACAGTTTGCTTGCTGGCTTTGAAAAGAAGACTGCTTAGCAGGGAAACTGGGACAGAAAGAATGATATTTGGAACCCAAAGGACAGCCTGTTTCTGGTGAAATGTCTCTGTATTGGTATCTTTATGTATCTTCCAAGGTACAAAATGGAGGGACAGGAAGTCATTTGCAAGCCTTATGTAATATCCAGTCCTGTAAAGAGGTGCATGCTGGGGGATTCCTCTGCCCACACAGCACTCCATCATGCAGGCATGCCTCCACATCCTTGTCTTTGCATAACTCAAGCATAGACCTCCTACAAGATCATCTCCCACCTCTAATGTGCATCTGTTCATTTTCTGCCTGTCAAGCCTCTTCAGAATTTAAAAGAAACAAGTTGCAAGAGATAGGAGAAGAAACTTTCAAGTTTGAGTACATCAGATCTGGACAGATCTGATAAGAAATGTGAATTTTTATTGCCTGACTACTTTTCTTTTTTATTTTTCCGTAGTGGAATTATCCTGCTGTGTCAGGAACTATTTCTTGCAATACATTTTTCCTCAGCAATAAAAATATCTCCAAGGCAGAAGTGCAATTCTCTTTTCAGACCTGACACCTTCAAAGCCTTATATATGTGGCTGAGTTAGATGAAAAGGTATTATTAGGTTTTTATTAGATTACGATGCAAGCTCAAGCTGGCTAGGCTCATCAGACAATAAATTTAGTGCAAACATCTCTGGCCAAAGTCTGCTCTCACACATGTTGCTATTTGGCTGCAGCTGGTATTTCTCTCTAAATATGATACTGATTCCGTTCTAACATTTGTGAGAAGGGCATGGATGTACATAGGGCATGATTTACAGTGTAAACAGTCATTGACGTAGAATAGTTCTGATTGTGCTTCCAAATTAAATCAGAAATAATGCTATTAAAGGCAAAGGAGTTATTATTACTTACACAATACATAAATCCAAAATTCAGGCCTTTATCACGGCTAAGATTTGTTAGATATTGCATGGATATTTATTTATACACAGCTTTTTACCATCA